TTTTCTATAGGTCTATCATAATGCGTGCGGTAGAGGGTTAAATTATTCCTGTGATGGTAAAGCAAAATTCACAGAAACCATTACTCCGGTCTTCAGTGTCACATGATCCTTCAGAAATCATTCTAATAGGCTTCTTATTATCAATGATTTCTTATTATCGATATCTATGTTAAAAATGCTTAACATTTTTTATTGAAACCGTGATAAATTTAATTTAATTTTTTAGGATTTTTGATATATAGAAAAAAAACAGCATTTATTTAAAAACCACTAGAAGGTCTCTCAAATTCACTGAGAGAACCTGTGAATTTGAACTGCATTGGGCATTGCAAGAAACTGATGACAATTAGCACAAATGAATAAAAACCATGTTTAAATAACAAGTCTTTGTGCAGTGAACAGCATTTTTTGACAGTTTTGAATGTGGCATTTCAATGAATCTTCCAGTAAAATGATCAGCAGCCCAGCATCTCAGGATGGTACAAAATAAAATATGAACAGGAAAATCCTTTGCATATGCAAATACGACACAGTATTCCATGCATAACCTCACCAAGAACACGAGAAATAATGAACTGCGTGCTTCCACCGCCCTGATTTTTCGGACTGATGACTGAGAAGGCACGAAGAGTTCAATGAACACAGAAAGGATCTGCTGGGTCTGAGTGGATGTGCTAAGGGAAACTTCCCTGTGCCTGAGATAGCTCCAGTTCTCCAGAGGAATACCATAAAACATGTAAACTGGGAGCATGGCACATTACATAACTGTATGCTACCTGTTACCTAGCAACTCTGTGCACTAGTGGCTATGGCTCTGTATGTGCTACCCGTTTCTCTCCATTTCAGAAGGCCAGGCCTTAGCACTGAATCCCCAACAACCTCAATTTCTGCTGCACGGCAGACCTTCAAGACGCCTTAGCGCTGCTAAATTACATCACAGTCATTTGTCTCATACAGTGGAGACCCACTGAAAGCAGGAAACAAGTGATTGAGGGTGCAAATGCACAGATCCCTATAATATATTTGGCAAACAGTTCTTAACTTATTATTCAAATAAAAGACTTGAATGGGCATCTCAGTGTTGTTTCTCTCCGTTTCAACACATTTAACCATACGTCAATCAATTCTTCAGATTTCTGCAGATTTTTCCATACAATCCATGCATGAAATGTAAAAAATTCTAGATGGTCTAGTAGGTCTGTCCATTATTTAAAAACCCAAGTCACAAAATAACATGTAAGATCTGAACTGACTTCAAATGACTTCAAGTAACCATTTTAGCTAAACTATATAAATACATTATATCAGATTTCAAAGATCATATAAAAGACTAAACGTATTTGTCAATGTCATCCAGTTTTCTTCTACAGTGCCATAAACAACCAAACCTTCACAAAGCTTCACCGTAACAAATTTAATGATCAACTTTACTACTGTTGCTGTCTGCCACAGATAGGGTTGCCAACTGTCCCGTATTAGCCGGGACATCAAATATATTGGGCTTAACTGATGTCCCTTACGTGACCTCCATTGTCCCGTTTATTGACTGCTACGCTGCTCTAACCACTGATTGATACAACAGCAACAGCAGCAGCAGTGCTGATCACGACACTTGACTTGAGAATGATCACAGACACCTGTCATCATCCAATCACAAATTGTGTGCGTGTATATATAAATATATATTTTTAAAAGCCCAATTTCACAGTTCTCAAATTCATTCATGTGTAACATTCTATAAAATAGCTTGACTGAGAGAGCATGAGCAACTAAAGTGGGCGGGGCTTAACAAACAGTCAATTGTTGTTGATCGCAGGTGCATTTAGGGATTGATCACGTTTACTGCACCAAGCAGTGAATAACTGGAATGAAGGCTAAAAGTCTGTGGTCGACTTGAAATCACTCAGTAACCATTATCAGATGTTCAAGGAGTGGGACCTTATGTTTTGATTGTAGACATTTTATGAAGCTCAGTACCATATAATTCACAGATCTGAACCAAAAACAAATCTGCAAACCAACAAACCTTAAAAATTCCCATCTTTACAATCAATAAGCATCCAGTGCCCATTCCAATACTGTTTTCCATCAGTGCTGCCCAGCTGATGTCTTAGAAAAATGAAATGCTTATTAAAAACACTGATAATGAATTAATGGTAATTATATGCCTTTTAAATTGCCCATATACGTTCATCCTGCCATGCTGACCTTTTACACATTTGTCATATTGTTAAAATTCTCACGGTTGAAGTATGTTGTTTCTTTTACCTTTTCCTTTCCATATTTTCCTTTCTTTCAACTTATAGCTGAGTCATGAATATTCACACACCTAACTGACTCATATATGCTTTTGAGTACACACACACACACACACACACACACACACACACACACACACTAAACATACATTTTTCTATGTGTGATCAATCAAGTGCTTTAAAGGTGTCATATGATGTTGCTAAAAAGAAAATTATTTTGTGTATTTGGTGTAATGAAATGTGTTTATGCGGTTTAAGGTTAAAAAAACACATAATTTTCCACATACTGTACATTATTGTTTCTCCTCTATGCCCCGCCTTTCTGAAACGCGTCGATTTTTACAAAGCTCATCAGTCTGAAAAGCGAGGTGTGCTCTGATTGGCCAGCTATCTAGTGCGTTGTGATTGGCCGAACACCTCAAGCGTGTGACGGAAATGTTACGCCCCGTACCATACTGTTATGCCGTGTCCAGGCCGGAGCGATGAGACAAAAACATTAAAACCCATTATAAACGAGGCATTTGTTGCATCCCGTGGGGACATAATTACGGATTATAATGACTTATACTTTATTTTTACGCGTTGCAACGTGTCGTGTAAACATAAAACCATGTCTGCATTTGTGATTGGAGAAATGACAAACAACAAGTGCTA